GCGGGGTCTGGGCCGCGAGCCACAGTTGGTTACGTGGAAGTTCAGCAATGTAACCATTACGCCATCTGCTGGGCGCAGAATAGTTGATTTTTTTAAGTTTATTTATTCCATGAACAGAGATAGAAACACAGCCCCAACAGGGTTCTGCCCCTGGGAAGCACCCTGGGCCTCAGTCAGCTCTGGGTCATAGGGCGCGCATGCACACTCAAGGAGGTCTCTAGACGCAATCCTACCACCTTCCCGTGTGGGGCGGCCTGGCAGAGCACTGCATCCCACCTCAGTGCCACCGTCTGACCCTGGGAAGGGTCAGTCTCACAATCTCTTATATCTGCTTCTGTTCCGCCTCCTCATTTCACTACACACCGCGATTCATTTCCCAGTCATTTGGGGCCCGAGCTGCGATCTCTTAACTGTGCTCCTTCACTCTTCTCTCACTCCTCTCATTTCACGTCCACGTTACTTACATCTGTCTCCCTCTCTCTTCCCCTCTTCCCCCCAAGCATTCCCCATGGGGATGGCCACGCCGCAATCCCTTCTCCTCCATTCTCCTCTCAGGATCTTGGGCATGCACGCACATGCGCCCGGCATGAATTTTAAGCCACTGGGTCCAGGACTCGAATCATGGTTGACAACGTGGGAGTTCAGCGACATAGCCATTACGCTAACTGCTGGTCCCACTTACATCTTTCTGAGGGACCAGCAGTTAGCGTAATGGCTATGTCGCTGGACTCCCACGTCGTTGACCGCAGTTCATGTCCCACTTACATCTTTCTGAAAAGCAAGCTACCAAGGTTTTACCCCGCAGTGACCCAGCGGTGTATACGGCAGCTGTGCTGTAGCAGGCTCTGTGTCATTTGCTAATGATAGAAACCTAAACCTGACCTTGTTTCTGCCCTCAGTTATCTCAGAATCTGGTGGAAACATGGCAAGTGGTTATAATTTGCTGTGATGTAAGGACTGATCTCTAGGCTCTCCTCACACAATGCAGAGGTGCCAAGTGTCATAGAGAAAGGAGCCCCTGATTTCACTCTGGGAATCAGAGAAATTCACAGAGACGGTCCCAGGGAAGGGGGAAGTGAAACACTTCTCATGGAATTGCCTCATAGCCCCATGAAGCAGGGGCTCAGGAAGGGGGTTCATGGAGTGTGGTGTGAGTGGAAGTCCTCAGAAGAGTGTGGCGTTGTGCCACCAGACAGGATTGCAGAGCGATGTTGACAAACCAGCTGCGCTGGGGTCAAGCTGCCCAAGTGGAAATCACAGAGGGAACTTGCCAAGCCTTGACGTGTAGGACTGAGCCGATAGGGGTTTCCGGGGTGGTCAGGAAAGCTGTAGGGCTAATACTTGGGAGGTCCCTGGTGACAGAGAAGGGACAGAGTCCAGACGCTCAGCTGGAGAGGACCACGGAAAGCCTTCGTCCCTGCATTGTACAAATAAGGAGAGAATGTAAGGGAGTAGGGTAAGTGGTCCTGCGTGTGTGGCCGTCAGGCTGTATGGAATTCCATCGCTGCTATGTGGCTTTGGGGAAGGTCATCGGCTTAGCTGGAAAACAGAATTAATAATGGTAACTACTTCAGGGGGTGACTGTGAGGCTTAAGTGAGCAGGGGATCTAGACCCCTGAGGTATTACCCGCCCAGAGTGAGTTTAATGCCAACGTGTTGTTAATACTACTATTGAGGAAGTGCCACCGCTAGCTCAAAGTGGAGCTGAGGTAAGAACTAAGGGCTGGCTCCCCTTCTGTTCTCCACTCTCCCACCTCCTTCCTGACAGGAGGGGAGGGAGACTAACTCTGGCAGCAAGAACCTCCAGGAAAGTCACCTACAGACCATGACCAGGCCTGGAGCCAAGAGGGCTGGAAATGCGCAGAGTAAGGACTTCACTTTCTTTCCTTCTTGTTTTCTGGAGTGACAAGGCTAGAGGGAGGGAGACATTCAGGAGTGCATTAACTTTGTAGAAATGTGGAAGGCAGCTAGTTGTTCTAGAACCTAGACTTCTCGGCACGAAGAAGCAGCAAACTTTGCGGCTTCCTTCTATATTACCCAGCCCAGGTCACGAGGGAAGGAAAATACTTACTCCTAGATAGAATATAGAACCTTGTAAGGGCTAGTTAGGCAGGGTGCAGGAGGGGAATCTGCTAATTCACGTGTTGTAAGAGAGGAGTAATAGAGGTACATGGAAAAAAATTTTTTAAAAAATTCAAATCAAAACAAAGTACATACAGTGGGAAACACATCTTATTTTCACCCACTCCCTAGTTTCTCCTCTCAGTGACAAGCTCTGTTTCCAAAGCCTAGTTTGTGTATTTCCAAAGACATTACTCCCATCCACTGAGACACACAGTCTGTTTAAGGACACAGGTTTACATGTTAGCACCTTGCTTTTTCTACTTAAATGTGTCTCCTAGAGGTCATACTGTATCCGTAAATTAAAGGTACCTCTTTCTTTATAAGGTCTATGTAGCATTGTACTGAGTGGATGTACCATAATACATCTTCTATTAACATACTGTTTCCAAACTCTCGTTTTTGAAAATAAAGCTGCAGGGGCCAGCAAATGGCATGATGGTTAGGGCACTAGACTCACACATGGCTGACAATGGTTCTAGTCCTAGACCCGGCACCTTGCTCTTTCGCTTTCCCTTTCTCTCTTTTTGTCGATCTCTGGTCAAATTTTTAAAAATAATAATGATGGGGCTTGTAGGTGGCATGGTGGTCAAGGTGCTGGCCTCCCACATGGCCAACTAAAGTTTGGGTCCTAGACCTAGTGGCATGCTTTTTCATTCTCCCTTTCTCTCTCTTTCTCTGTGACTCTCTCTGGTTAAATTGAAGAATAACAATGAATAAATAAAATTAAATAAAAGAAAATGGCATCACTGTCTTTTAAAAATAATAACAATGAATTGAAATGATACAGAGAAGATTAGCATGGCCCCTGTGCAAAGATAACACACAAATTCATGAAGAAGTCCATATTTTTGCAGGTCACCTCCTCCCACACACCTCTGAACACTTAGAATTAACTCCAAGGGATTAGGAAAAATGGGGAAAATGTATAATCCATCAGATTACTGGAAACCACCACAGAAGCATAAAAAAAAAAAAATGAAAAGCCAGCTCCTCCCTGACTCACCTTTGAACTCTCAGGTTTGTTTCTTGGGATTTTTGAGATGAACTTGCATCCCTCCCCACCCCATCTAGATGCCCATTCCAGCGAAAGGCCTTGCCTGATAGCAGGGTGCTTGTGTCTGGAGGGCTTAATGGCTGGGACCTGTGCCTCATCCCCTCCCTGACTCACCTTTGGACTCTCAAGTTTGTACTCGGGGACTTTGAGATGAAGTTGTACCCTTCTCCCCCCTATCTAGACACCTGTTCCAGCAAACGACCTTGCCGGACAGAAGACTACCTGCATCTAGGGTGCTTAGCAGCTGGGACCCATGGCTCATCCCCTCCCCAACTTGCCTTTGAACTCTCAGGAGTTGGTGTTTTGTACAGTGTGCAGCCTGAACTCATCTTTGTTACTGAGTTGGAGCCCCGCAGCTCAGTTTCAGGCACACCTTCAGAAACATGGAGGACTTTGGATCCTCCTCCCTGCTCCTACACACCTTTGAGTGCTTGGAGATACCTTGAATAATTTAGGAAGGAATGTATAGATCCCCATATGACTAGGAACCATGGCAGAGGCACGAGAAATATGAGCAATGAGCAAAATGTCTCTCCCCCAAGGAAAAACATCAATTCCTCATCCCCAACAGACAGCACAATGGAAATCACAAACATGTCAGATAAACAATTCAGAATATTTGTAGTGACCAAATTATGTGAAATGCCAGAGAAAAGAAACAGTGAGTTCCAGGAGATGAGGAAGTCCTTTCATTATTTGAAAGAAGAAATAGACACCATAAAAAAGAATCAGACAGAATTGTTAGAGATGAAGAATGTGATTCAGAAGATTAAAACCTTCCTTGAAAGTATTAAAATTAGATTAGATCACGCAGAATCTCGAATCTTGAATGTAAAAGACAAAACCTCTGACCTAGAAAAAATGATCAGAAAGTCTGAGAAAACAACCAAGAAAAGTGAGGGCAGTATATGAGACATACTAGACACCATCAAGGACCCAAACATCCCAATAATCGGGATGGCAGAAGAGGAAGGAAATAATGAGGGCATTGATAATTTATTCCATGAAATCCTGAAAGAAAACTTTCCAAACCTAGAGAGGTATTCAAATATCCAGACCCAAGAAATACACAAGACCCCAAATAGAATCAACTCAACCCAAGAAACAAAGGCACTTCATAGCCAGATTGACCAAAACCACAGGCAAAGACAAGATACTAAAGCTGGCAAGAGGGAAACGTCAAGTTACTTACAAAGATTATCCCATCAGGCTAGCATCGGACCTCTCATTGGAAAGAATGCAGGCAAGGACAGAATGGGGAATATAGTCACAGTGTTAAATGAAAAGTAATTTCAACCAAGAATACAATAGCTAGCAAGATTATCATTAATATAGGGAAAAAAAGAAAACATTTTCGGATAAACAAAACCTGAAATAATTTACCAACTCCAGACCAGCTCTTCAAGAGGTTCTGAAGGGAGTGCTATACCAGGAAAACTAAAAAAACAGACAAATGGTTCTAAGAGAACAAAAATCAACCAAGAAAATGGCTCACTTAATGATAGGAACATGTCTGCAAATATCGATAATAATGTTGAACATTATTATAATTCTCCAATCAAGAGACACAGACCGGCTGAATGGGTAAAAAAAAAAAAACAGAAACCCTCTATCTGTCACCTACAAGAAACTCACCTTATGGATAAAGACATACATAGGCTAAAAGTGAAGGGATGGAAAAAGATATTCCATGCAAATAGAAATCAAAAAAGGGCTGGAGTTGCAATAGTGATTTCAGACAAAATAGGCTTTAAGACAAAGACTGTAAGAAGAGACAAAGAAGGGCATTATATAGTAGCAAAAGGGCTAATTCATCAAGACGTAACACCTACAAATGTCCAGGCACCAAACCCAGGGGTATCTAAATATATGAAGGAAAGACTGCTAGAACTAAAAGGAGAGATAGGTTGCAACGCTACAATTGTTAGGAATCTCAACACCCCACTATCTCTAGACAGATCTTCTAGGCAAAAAATAAGCAGAGAAACATAGGACCTAAATGATACTATAAATCAAATGGGCTTGACAGATAGCTATAGAACTTTCCACCTTAAGATCACAAAATATACATTTTTCTTTCTTTCTTTTTGGAAAAAGTGGGGTTCCTGTTGAAGTTTTTTTTTTTTTTTTTTTTTTGGAGAGGTTTTTATTCGCTATAGGGCGCGTGCGCTTGCCAGACAGACAGAGAGAGACATAGAGACAGAAAGCAAGAAATCACCCCCCAGGGGGGATGGTCACGCCGCAATCCCTTCTCCTCCATTCTCCTCTCGGGATCTTGGGCACGCACGCACACGCGCCCGGCGTGAGTTTTAAGCCACCGGGTCCGGGACGCGAACTGTGGTTGACTACGTGGGAGTCCAGCGACATAGCCATTACGCTAGCTGCTGGTTCCCAAAATATACATTTTTCTCACCTCAGCATGGAACCTTTTCAAAGAGTGACCATATGATAGGACACAATTCAAGTCTTCAGATTCAAAAGAATAGAAACTATATCCAGCATCTTCTCTGACCATGATGAAACTAAACTTGATATTAATTTCAAGGAAAGTCCTCAAAAATACATGAACACACGGAGACTAAACAACATATTTCTGAATGACTTCTTAAGTACTGAAGAAATTAAGTCTGAAATAAAAAAATTATGAAAACAAATGATAATGAGTACATGAGTTTCCATAATCTATGGGACACCATAAAACAGTCATAAGAGGAAAATTCATAGCAATTATTGTGCACAAGAAAAAAGATGGAAAGGTGGCAAATAGCGACTTAACATCGTGCCTCAGGGAATTGGAAAAACAACAGCCAAAATTCCAGGCACAAAGAAAATATAAAGACTCAAGTAGAAATAAATGAAATAGAAAATAAAAGAGCCATACAGAAAATAAATGAAAGCAAAAGCTGGTTCTCTGAAAATATTAACAAGAGCAGGAACCAGCAGTTAGTGTAATGGCTATGTCGCTGGACTCCCACGTAGTTGACCGCAGTTCGTGTCCCAGACCTGGTGGCTTAAAACTCACGCTGGGCGCATGTGCGTGCGTACCCAAGATCCCGAGAGGAGAATGGAGGAGAAGGGATTGCGGCGTGACCATCCCCCCTGGGGGTGATTTCTCACTTTCTGTCTCTATGTCTCTCTCTGTCTGTCTGGCAAACACACGCACCCTATAGCGAAAACCTCTCCAAAAATATATATATATATATTAACAAGATTGACACACCATTGGCTAGATTGATGAAGAAGAGAGAAACCAGATAAATCAAATACATGATGAAACAGGCAACATTACAACAGACATAGAAATACAAAATATCATTAGAGGATACTATGAGTGACTATGCCAACAAACAAGAGAATATGGAGGAGATGGACAAATTCCTGGATGCATATAATCTACCAAGATTGAATCAGGAGGACATAGAAAACCTGAATAGACCCATAACAACCCATAAGATTAGATCAGTAATAAATGACCTCCGGACAAAGAAAAGCCCAGGTCCAGATGGCTTTGCTTCTAAATTCTACAAAACCTTTAAGAAGGAGTTAACCCCTATTCTACTCAAATTATTTCTAAAGATTAAAAAGGAAGGAAACCTTCCAACTTCATTCTATGAAGCCTCTATCATCTTCATTCCCTCATTCCTACCTTGAGGAAGACTTTGAAGGAAGAAAAAGAGACTGATCTTCGCTAGCAGATGATAAACCACAGAGTAGTTGGTAGGCAGGGCTGAGTTGGGAAGGTTCATGTGTGAATTGTGTGCTGAGTGTTTGCTTCTCAACAGTTTGAATAGTTGACGTGTGAATATTTTCTCAAAAATATTTAAAACCATACTGTCTCTGTTGTTGTAAAGTCACAAACAAAATTATAACAAATATTTTGAAAGTCATCTTTGAAAGTCATCTTTAAAATCAGGTTTTTGGACATTTTGGAAGTTGTTTATTAACTGTCAAGAACTATGGAGTATGGGAAAGTATTTTTGACATGTAAAGTAAATGTTCGTGGGGAAATGTAAAATAAATAAATAAATAAACTTAATTCAAAAATAATAATGATACATAAAATTAAAAAGAAATTCTTAAAAAAAGAAAACAGAGCTCCAGCAAATACCTCTGTACATTCATCTTTTTATACCTGATGTATCTATAGGATAAATACACAGAAGTACAATTGCTGTACCCAAGGAAATGGGCAGCTTTTAAAGTTTCTTTCTTCCATGACAAGAAAGACAGAGAGTCAGAGAGAGAGAGAGAGACCCTCAACAGGGTCTTTAATGATGCTATCCACCCCTCACTTCAGCCATGCCCCTATCATGGGCATGGGCATGTCTGCCATGTTCAGGGAGGTCTCTGGATGTGAACCTAAAACCTTCCAATGTAGGCCAACATCACAGAGCTTTGTGTTCCTGCTATTCCACCATCTACTCCCCAAAATGTGCACTTTTAACTTTTGATATGGTAGTAGGATATTAGATATGACCCTTTCTGTTGTTAGATCTTCAGCAAATCCCCTAAAGAACAGTCAGTAATGGACCACCTATCTAGGACCAGCGAAGAGACAGTAATAGTTTTCTTTCCACCGTTTGCCTCCCTTTACCTCTTGGTTATATAAGAGAAGGCTAAGAATTCATTTACAGGTGGACCTTTGAAGACAGGATTTGTCTAGAGAGTGAGCATCTAGAAAATTCTCAGAGTGGTGTGTTGTGTCTTTTTTTTTTTCCTTTTATAAATAGTTATTTATTATTTAATTTCATTTATTTTTAATTTACTACAGGGCATATGCACTCACCAGAGAGAGA